AGAACTCTGTGTGGCAATGGAGGCAGAAACTGCAATGATGTAATTGTAAGCCAAGGACACCAAGGTTGTTGGCAACTACGAGAACACAGTGGAGAGTCATGAAACAGATTCTCCCTCCAGAAGGAAGCAGACTTAATGACACCTTCATTTCAGAATTCTGGCCTCCTGCATTGTAAGAGAATAATTTATTTTGTTTAAGCCACACAGTTTATGACAGCCCCACATAAAATAAACATAGAAAGGTACATGGACCTCTAACCTACATGCGGAGATGGGCTTGTTAAATGTGGATTTTAAGTCAATATCTAGAGATTCTGATTTTGTAAATATGCGGTGAGGCTCAGGAAACTGCATTTTGACAATTTTCCATATGCATACCAACTGACTGTCAGTTGGTTTTGAACATATAAAGATATGTCTCTTATCTGGATTGTGGCTATATTTGCTCTTCCTTTGACAGTGCTGCTATAATGTTCCCAAAATCAGTGACATGAAGGTGGCAAGTATAAGAGACAAGAAATACAATGGTGGCATTAGACATTCTGTTTCACAAATTTTGAACTCTTTTTATTGGAGTCATGGTTTAAGACAGGGTCTCACTTTGTAGTGTAGGCTGGCCTTGAACTGACTGTATAACCCAAGTTGGCCTTGAACTCATGCTAATATTTCTGTCTCAGCCTCCCGAGTATGAGGATTACTGGTGTGCACCACCACACAGCAACAAATTTTGAACACTGAGACTACTTTAAGAGTGTTTATGCTAAGGAATCACACATCTTCTGGGTTGCCAAAATCTACCCCTAATGAAATAGGCTATGATGATAGGGAGTGTGCCAAGATCTCTCTCTCTCTCTCTCTCTCTCTCTCACACACACACACACACACACACACACACACACACACACACACACGTGTCTGGTGTAGAAGAGTCTTCCTAATAGTGTATCACCATTTTTCCTTTAAGATTTGATTCCTATTACAAATTCAGGTGTTTATATGAGTGTTGATACTTGAAGTCAGTGCCATCCATTTAAGCTATGCCTCTGATCTTTATCTGAGAAAAGTTTTGATAGGTTAGATGAGGAGGAAGAGCATAAGGAGACGGGGGTAAGGAAGGAGCAGAGGAGGTATTGCTTCCAGCCTGGAGCTAAAGTCCTTGCTTCATAATCCTAAGGAGGGTGCTGGTTAATTTTCTCAAGATTGATGTCCAATCAGTTGGATAGATGGGAGAGAGTCTTTGTTTAAAAGGACATTTATTTAGATTCTATATGTGGATAGAGTGGCCTGCTCAGGTAAACCCAAGTTCCTTCAGGAGGCCTGTGTTTGCTCACATCCCTGATCACTCCCAGGTTCAAAAAAAAAAAAAACCACAAAAAAACCTTGTTTCTATCTCCCAGAAAGACAGAGAGAGCTTTAGCAATGTGGCAGCCTGTTGTCATAGTTTCTGACATATAATTTATCATGATTGTCAGAGCAATGGAAGAAAACAAAATTTAGCAGTGGCTGGTGGCAGAGGGTTTGGAAAGTGAGGAGAAAGAGAGAAGGCTGATGAAGAGACTTGGGAATGGAGTTGATGTCTTTGTGAGCATATGGTGTGATATCCAAATATGATAAAGGAGGTCTTTTATTGGTGGTATGTCAGAAAGGGCTTTGCAAAAGACAGCTTGCCCAAAATAGCTTCATGCAAGTTCCATATGTCTGACTTTCCACCAGTGTTGGTTCATTCATATGCGTTAAGCTTTGCCTTTGCCCAGGTAAAGTCATACCTTAGTTGCACTTTAGTATAAGCTTAGCTGGTGCCTTTCATCTTGACTTGCAGAGCCTCAGCATTTGGTAGAGCACTGGAGAGAGATGGGAAAATGGGGCTTTTCAAACAAGGACTTGACTTTCAAAACTCTGGTAGGGCCAGTATTACTAGCTCTGTTTTGAGAAACTGACCCTGTGTTCTTTATCTTCAAAACAGTTATAAGTTAAATGGGATTGACTATGAAAGATCTTGTATAACAGGAAGCCATGTATTTTTCTGGTATATATATATAAATAAATGATTGAAACCAGGGCCTTCATACTGAACTACATCCATTCCCCTTTTGTTTTTTTATTCTAAGACAGGATCTTACTAAATCACTAAGTAACCCAGATTAGGCTTGAACTTGTGATCTTCCTACCTAAGCCTCCTAAAGTTCTGGGATTACAGGGATATACCATTCTTAACTCTTTCATGTCCTGCAGCAAATGTTTATATATCACTCATTATGCACTAGGTATTTGATGAGGTATTAAAAGCATAGGCATGGAAACAGTTGGACACTAGATTTTTACCTCATATTTAAGAAACAGTGTAGTTACAGGAGATTAGGAAGTTCTACAGTCAAGGCTAAAGCAGTACAAAGTGGCATGTGATTGGTGTCAAGTGAAGCAAAAAGCCAATGGGCTGCAGGATCTTGAAGGCAATCAAGTTCATGGTGGAGCAGAATAGCTGAGAAAGCATTAGTGCAAATTAACACATTAAATTACCCAGAGACTTAGCAGGGGTCTGGGGATGGTACACAGAACTAATCAGTTTTGATGAGGATAGTGAGATAGATTGTATAGGAATCACACTCATACCTCTATGCTTTGCTATTTATCCAAATTCTTCATGTCTGTTATTTCCAGAGAGCTAATCTATCTTGCATTTATCTGCCCTGTATTGAAACTCCTGTGCTGGGAATCCTGAAATTTACTCACACTGCCAGGGAAGCAATGTTACCTAGTGGTTAAAAGGGTGGTTTAGTAGTTGCCTGGGTTTGGATCCTGGATCTGGAATTTACTAACTATGATCTTGAACAGTTGACTTAACCATCCTGTGACTCAATTTTTCTCATAGGTAAAATGAAGATGATAATAGCAGTCTACCTAACAGAGTTACTTGGAGGATTAAATGAGGTAAATCATGTAAGATGCTTACCATAGTACTGGGTACATATTATTCGTTCATTAAATAAATATGTATTGCATGTCTATGGGGTTCCAGGTACTTTTCTAGTGATCCGATATAGCAGTGAACAAGAGAGACAGCATCCCTGCTCTCTTGGGACTGTGTTAAATGGTAATGGAGAAGAAGGGGATTTAGGCCCTTTACTCAAAGCACTTTTAATCTAGTGCTTTGTTTTCTATTCTGTCAGTTCCAATTCTTAGTCTATGTGTTATCACTCAATTTATTTAGGCAAATATCAAACTTATGAATTTCCTTTAAATATATCTTTGGCAGTAACCTGTAAGAGTTGATGCTGTTTCCATTATCAGTGTTCTCCAAACAGTTGGCAATTTTGGCTTTGATTTGTACTATTTCTTTTCTTTGGAATATATCCAGGTATTCTATTTTTGATGATTCAATATTTACCTTTGTTCCTAGTATGTGCCCAATGCTATGAAGAGACACAGTGAAGAGACCTTTCTGATCTGAGTGTTGTTTAGAAGGGACTAGAGAAAGACAGAATTAGAAAAGACCATTAGTTAGTTTTAGTGCTAAACTTTGTGAGTTGATATCTTTGCTAATGACAAGTTTGGATGTGGTTTGCTCCACAAAGGTCTGTGTGTTGAAAGCTTTGTCTTCATTATGATGGTGGTGAGGTGGTGTAACCTTTAAGCGGTAGAGCCTAGTGCGAGCTAATTAGGTCATCGGGGATACTTCCCTTGAAGGAGATTAATGCTGGTCCCACTGAGTGAGTTGATTCTTACAAGAGTATGTTGCTATAAAGTGAGGTCACTTTACATACTTGCTTGTTCACTTATATATGTGGCCAATTCCTTTTCCATTTTCTCCATGTTGTGATGAAGTCAGGGGGCTCCTGATTGAACAGATAGATCCCTCTGATCTTGTATTTCCAACCTCCCAAACTGTGAGCTAAACAGACCTCTTTTCTTTATGAAGTACCTAGCCTCAGATATTTTGACATAGTAACAGAAAAACAGACTAATACAAGGACACATGGCAGTTCTTGAAAGGATGGGTAGAAATGACAGGATCATTATGCCATTTTAGTATGAATAAATCAGCCTTATTGTTCAGTATGACTTAAGAGAGGGAAAAGGCAAGATGGAAGATCAGTTCCAATATTTTTATGTTAGTCTAGGACAACAGTTCTTAAACCTTAGCATGTTTCAGAATCCCTTGAGGACTTAAGGCACAGCTTGCTCAGCCCTACCCCAGAGTTTGTGATTTAGTAGTTTTGTGTTGGCGGCCCAAACATTTACATTTTAATAAGTTCCCAGATAATGCTGATGCTGCTTTAGGGACCATACTTTGAGAGTCACTCATCTCAGAAAGGGATAAGAACAGAGCCACAGTGGTGGGAGCTGAGCTAGAGAGAAAAGAAAATATGTAGAAGATATTGGGAAGGAAGAAATGAGAGGGTTTAGGGATTAGACATGGAAGCAAGATAGAGGGAGAAATCAAAGATGTCTACAGAGTATCAAATCTAAGTGCCCTAGAGGAGGACATAAGAATCACAGAGGCAAAAACCTAAACATACAGGAATGGGATACACTCACATAACAGGTACTGGGAAATATGCAAGACCTTATACCCATCTGTGTCTGCACTCAAATTTAAAGGTTTCTTGTCTCATCTCTAGGACAGAGGCTGGTAGGAAGGAGAAATCCTGGGCCTATGTTTGTTCTCTTCTTTGGTAGAATGTGACTTTTCATTAGGGGAAGAAAATGGAGAAACAGTGGTCAGGGAAAGTAGAAAGAGCTTGCTTGATCTGGAAATGAACAGCACATCTATGAGTTGTTAAATAATGAATGTTTATGTGCAAATATTAAAAAGGAAAAATGAGTAAAACCTAGCATGTGTCATGCAGGGTAGCTCTAGGGTACCACCTGAGATCGCTGATGTAACTTCTGAGACAGAACTTTTCAACTCCAGACAACCTAACTTTTCCTAATTTCAAGGCTCTGTGCTCTGGTGCTTTGTTGTCAGGGTTATTTATCAGCCTATAGGGTATTTCTCTTACCTGCTTCTCTCCGCTGGGCTTCCTGTAGCTGAGCAGAAGCTCCACAGCACCCACTACCTCCTTGCGGATGGCATAGAGTAATGCATCGCCCATGTACACACTGTGGTTCAGTAGTAGCTCCATGATCTCTAAGTTCTCATTCTCAATGGCAATAAGCAAGGCACTCCGGCCCAAAGGATCCATGCAGTTGATGTTGACATTGTAGTAGATCTCAGCCTCCTGTAGGGCCTGCTTCACAGTAGCATAGTCTCCCTTCTCCACTGCATTGAGGAACGCCTTCTCCTCTGCAGAGAGTTCTGTCTCAGCCCTCACGATTTGCAGGGGAATGCGGTCTCTGTATGGTGAGTAATTAACCTTTTTGTAGTACAGCTGGGCCATGGTTCATAGCAATTTAGAGAGCTGAGTAAGGAGAAAGAGGAAGACCGAAGATATTCTTAGTTCCATGAAAGTTTGCATTGTCCAGTTATAGAGGGCAGCCTTGCTAAGGGGTTGGAAAGTTCCAAAGTGTTTTAATGATACTGCTATTTTCCTCTTGCCAAGGGGTATAGGCAGAAAACATCTGGGCTTTTAGGTCAGAAAGATCTGGGTTCAAACATTGGTTTTGTTACTTACCAGCTCTGAGAACTTGGATAGGATACTCTAGCCCTCTGTGGTTCTTTTACTACTACTAAGGTTATCCATATTAATAATATTACTAGCAGTTATCAGTTAGTGTCTAATTACTGTGTACCAAGTCCTATTCCACAGAGTATTTCCTACTTTGTGAAGCTATTGTGAGAATTAAATAAGATGTACATTATCAAAGCATCTGGCACAGGCAAAACCTAAGTCATGGCATAAGCTCCCTCCTTCCTTCCTTCCTTCCTTCTTTCCTTCCTTCCCTCCGCTACTTGAAATCACCCCTTATAGTACTTCTGATTGGTGATATAAAGTTGTCACTCATCTTTGGTCAGTTTCCTTTGAGCTCCATGTCTGTGGGTTTGTGCTAATTTTCAAGGTTACATTTGCAGTTGTTTCAAATGTGCATCCTAGATTGAAATACTGTTTCAGTGATAACTGCAACCCTGGTTCTTGCTGCTACTCCCTTGGGAAGATACATTGTCTCCAATAGGCCAAAGCTATCTACAAAAATAAGCATGTACTTGCTGTTTCTACTTCTGATTTTTTCTCTCACCATTCCAAACCAAGAAGCTAACAGATCTGACAGTCTGTTTCACTTAATTCTGTGACATGAGTGGTCTGTTTTATTTGTACCAGATCTGAAGCTAGATTGTATTTAATAGAATTGATTTAAAGTAAAAACCTATTTACTGAGCTCCTATAATATGTTTAAAATTTTTCTGGGACATATGGGAAAAAAAGACAGTTTTTGCCTTCATTCACATAGAATGAATCACAGACTAGTGCTCTTGCTTTGTGATATACAGATCAAATTCACTCAGATTCCTATGATTCCTGGTATTAGTTGTGTGAGATGGAAATGATGATCCTACTCAGGTAAGAAAATGAGATTCAGATCCATTAGATGATTGCTTCCCCTTTCTCTCCCATCCTGAGGCCTCCAGGCCCCTGGAAGGCTAAGGTAGGATGGACCTACTTCAGTGTTTTTCATAATAGAGCTATTTTGCTAGCAAAAGGAAATGGAAATGTGATAAAGGGCCCCTTGCGTCATTTCCTGGATGTAAGAGAAGATGAAGACAGGGAGCTTCGACAAACATTTACCTCACTCAGGTAATTATATTCCTGTTTGGCACAGGGAGAAGCATACATTATATCAAGCGGCATTTGCAATTCATAACCTGTGATCTTCTGGAAAGTTAGTGTTTGAGGATAATTGATGCCTTGCCCTGAACAGACACATACGACAAATTTCTCTCTGGATCCAGATTGCAGGAGAGCAGGGGACCGTGGCTCTTGAGAAGCCTTGGTATTTTCTTTTGCTACTTTAAAGTAACTCAGTAGTGCCTAAAGGAAAGCAGCATTTAGAATAAGCATTTGTCACTGAACAGCAAGTGATTTTAATACTAATACTGGTGGTAGACTGCCTCCATGCCTCTCTGTTGTAAACAAAAACGGAGAGGAGAGTAGATATAGTGTGATCTCTTGAAAAGACACTAAACAACCCAATTCAGCTTCTATTTTTTACTTAATTATTAGAAAAACACAGACAGGTTCTGCTGTGCCTAATGCTTTGCTAGCTAACCACTGTGGGGAGACATGAAAGAACAGGTTCCAACCTTCATCATCTCTCACATGCATCAGTACCACAACCTTGGGATGAACTTATCATCCTGATTCTATTTTCTCCCGTTCCAGACCAGCTTCCACACTGCCCCAAAGTTATCCTAGGAAGCACAAATTTGATCCCCTTTCACTGTTCTTTGGTTAGTTTTCTGCTGTTCTTGTGATGAAATCAACATTCTTTATGAGGTCTGTAAGAGCTTGAGTCATGTTTAACTCTCCAATCTCTTCTTAAGCCATTATTTTACCCTCAGCCACTACTCTTTAGCTTTGTGGAACTTATTTTGATTCTTCTCACATGCTAAACTTTTTTCTACCTGAAGACCTTTGATCACTAACTAGAATGTTGTTCTCTAGCTCCTTTCATTTACCAGAACTCACCAAAATATCACTTCCTCAGAGATGCCCTAACTAGTCACCCTCTCTAAAATAGTTTCTTCATATTCTCTCAATTGTACCATGTCGTCTTCCTTCTTAATGCTCACCCCAAGTTGTAGTTATATGTTTCTTTGTCTTACTAGGTAATTGTCTTATCCAATTAGCCTTAAAGCTTCAGGGCAGAAATTGCATCTATTCTGTTTTTCTAACATGTGTACCTAGTCCAGTGCTTGACACAACTGGACACTTGATATATATTTGATGAATGAATAAGCCAAGCTTCCATGATACTGTTTATCTCTTTCCATTGCGTCTTAAGTTCTAGCCATACCAAGCCATGTTCTCTAAGTTGCCCTTTTATGACTATGCCTTTGCTGATGGATTTATCCAGTGCTTTCCACTTAATAATCTTCTCACATTTCAGCATCTTACTCATAGGCCCTTTTCTTTGTGAAGCCTTTGCCCAATGTCTTCCAAAAGTTCCAATATCCTGCTTCTCCACTGGTACCTTTGATCACATTTCTTCAAATGCACCTAACTGCACACTAATTGTCCTACTGCTAGGTTGGGAGTACTTTGATTTCTGCATTGCCAGCTCCCACACAGGGTCAAGAATATGATGGGCACTAAATTAATGGATGTTGAACGAAACCAGTCTAACTGAGAAGGATTGGCACAGTCAAGTGCTACATCAGGTGGTACTTATTTGATGCTTTGTGGTGTCAGAAAGGACTCAGGATTGGAGGCTTCAAAGTAGGTTTCATGGAAGTCATAGTTCTTACACTAATCCTTAGTGGATGAATTCAATATGCAAATGTAAGGTAGTCCAGGCCCCCAGAGTGCAAGAACAAAGACGGTGAGAGTGATCACGGACTGGTTAGGAGATGCTATGGTGAGGGTTAGGTGGGATGGTGGCATTTTTCAGGCCATAATAGGATACAGAGATTAGAAGTGAGCTAAGCTTTCCAGGTATTAGCACATAACCTCAGTTTTCTCATCTGAAAAATGATTTTAAACACTTGCTGCTTATTTGCCACTTAGTAGCTACCATAGAAGAATGGATGCCTTTCCTGATGTTGTCACTGATAGTGCTAGGAAGGGCTATGGCAATTCTAGTAAGGCACAGTTATGGAAGAACTAGAAGAAAAATAGTTCCAAGAAAAGGTGAGAATGAAAGGAATTAACTCTATGAGTGACCTATTACATGCCAGGCATTAGGCCAGGAATGGAGGCAATAAAGATATAAAGATAATTGTTATAGTTTTGAATAGTTAATATGTCCCAGGCCCTGTTCCAGGTATTGAGGCAGCAGTATTGCTACCACTCTCTCTAGCAGTAATGATAATGAATGCAACAAGTAGTACCATTCATTGAATTCTCACTTTGCCAGTTGTGTGGTTTAAAGTAGTGAAGAGAAATAACAGCAAAATTGCAATTTGAGAATTGAACTGGATAATGTATAGTTTACTCAAATCTAGTTTTCACTTTTCATCTCTCTCCTTTGAATTAATATGGTCCATTTCATTTCTAGTGGGCTATGATATGAAAAGCATCATAGAATTCCTTTGTAGCAAAAATATCTCCAGAGGTTTGCCTGAGATTGTACTATTAGAGAGTCACTCTTTTGCTTTAAGGCACTACATTTCCAAAACTTATCCCTGGAAAGAATAATAAATTATGTGACTAACAGCTAGTGATATTGTAATATTAATTCTGTCATTAAGAAAGTTGTTGTGATCTTGGAACTAAAGAGATGCATGACTATAAGGACAGGGAAGATGTGGTAGAGGGGAAAGGAGAGGCCTAGTGTTCAACCTTGGAAATCTCTTTTAAGTAGCCATATCCATCTCTACGCTATGCATTGAGAATGATACAAAAGTCTGTTTCACGAGAAAAAGAAAAAAAATGAATACTGGTAGCAATTAAAAATCTGTTTAATGCATTGTCTGTCAGCATGCAGGCTCATGTAGATGTTCAATGACTTGCCTCATTCTTTGCCTTTTTTCTATCCCCACAGCTGGAGCCACTTAACTATCCTAACTTTGACCTCACTCCAGGCTCTGAGACCAATGACTTCTCCATATGCTTGGTACTAGTCTTACTCTGCCATTACTCTGGGAATAAGGAACTAATGACAGAGTTTGTGGTATCTGTTGAGGATGTGTTATTGAGAAGATTCTTTCTCATCACCTTTTACCTTTATACTTGGTACATAGCACTCAGCTGCCATTAACCTAAGCCAAGACTTGAGGTATGTCCTTAACTGAAGAAAACAAAATCGGCTTGTATTTTCATACTGTTCTGCCAGTGAACCCCATTCCTAATGTAGTTTCCAAGCAAACATGTAAGAATGGTCTAACAGGCTGCCTCAGAGGGCTTTTCATGTTCTCTGTTTCCTTTGCTGCTGCCCAGAGGAGATTATCTAATGGTATCTGTGACATTTGTGGGCTTAAATGATGCGATTTAAAGAGCTAAACTGATGGTCTGGGCAGAAGGCCAGGGCACAAAGTGGCCTTGCCAAATCCCAGCCCAGATCACAGCCCAGCAAAGGACTTCATCTCTGAGGAGGTAAGCCTGTTTTCCCACCTAAATAAAAAATTAGTGCCTTTGGAGGGACTTGGTATCTAAACATAGTTTGTATGATGTATTATAAGGATTTGAGCTTAAATGATGAAACTTCTTGTGATTTCTCACCGTTATCCATGTCATCTCTTTAACTTATCTTTTCAGGACTCTTCTAAGGCAAATAGATTTAACCTGATAAATTTGTACAATTGGAA